TAGAAAAAAGAAGTTATCCAGGGCACCGTGGCGCGATGCCGTGTCCCAGCTACCGGGAGCTGAGTCAGGATGGATCACTTAAGCCCAGGAGAATGTTGCTGTGAGCTAGCTAACGCCAAGGCACTCTAGCTTGGGCAATATTAGTGAGACTCATGTGCAAAAAACAACAACAACAAACAACAACAAAAAAAAAAAAAAAAAAAAAAAACAAAAAAAAAAAACCCAGGAAGCTGATAATATGTAGGCTTGGGGTAGGGACTTAGCAGCTCCCCTGCACTTACCTAGAACTCTGTATACACCTGTATTATTATACAACACTTACCATGGTGTATTCACATTACAAGGTATTGCACCCACTGACTGAACCGTGAGCTCAGAGAGGAAGAGTAGAGTTTCTTCTCCGCTTCTCAGGGACTCTGCCAAGCAACTGACCACGCCCCCTCTCAGCCTTGTCTGTCCTAGCTCCGCCCACAAGGTGATTTCCGGCTTCTCAGTACTGGCCTCGCCCTAAAGGGCTCCGCTCCGCCCTAGAGCAACCGTTTCCTCCCAGCGCCGTACTAGAGTGATTGACGAGTGTCTTGTCCAATTATCTTGCCGAGTGACCATATAATTACCAATTAGGTGGTAGGAGAGGCGGCTGCTGAAGCACCGGGTGGGGATGATCAGGAAGTGAGAGCCAAGACTGGGGAGAAGGACGAATCAAGCCCAGACGGTGGTAGAAAGGCGGCAGAACATCTGGGCTCCCCAGTTTCCTTCTCTCCCCGTTACTGGGCCGGGGTTTCTTCGCGGCTGGGAGCTAGGATCTCCATTTGCTTGTCTTTTGGAGGAAGAGGTGTGTGTCTACATATTTAAGCGTTTGAAGATCTTGCTTGAGCAACCTCTCACTTCGCCTCGAGGCGTGTCCTTCTCTTAGCCTGGGGTGGGGGGAGTCTTCCCTAGGGAGAGAGTCCTTTCTTACCCTGTGTGGGTGGTTACAGGCTTTGGGACTTAGTACCAGGGAAAGGGAGATGAGTGATGGGATCCAAGATTCGTGGACTCTGCCCTGCTCTGAGGTGTTAGACACCTCCAGCTGCAGCCAGAGGTAGTGGAAGGTGGAGGGGCCCTGGGAGCTAGAAATAAAGTAGGTATTGGGGGCGAAGGAACAAGTGGAACGAAACATTTCTTATGTGGAGGTCGTGGGAAAGCTTACTGTGGGGCCATAGACGTTGGGGCAGGGCTCCGGCTCTAAATCCACTTCCCACCTCTGAACCATCATCTTTTTGCCTCATTTGTTTCTCCACAGGCTGGGAGAAACACCTGAACATGTGGAATCCCAACGCTGGTAGGTTTTGGGGGATCTCTTCTACCACTTCTAATTCTTTTTCTGATGGTCTCTACAACAGGAAGTTTCTGTATCGCCCCACCTCATCCGACTGCAAAAGCAATCTTTGGACCACAGATGACCAATGCTTTTGTCTTTCCTTAGAGTTCACTGCCTCCCCCCTGTCCCCAGCCCTTCCAGGTCGTTCCCCTGTTTCTCCTCAACTCAGGTTAATCTCCCCTACTCTCCATTCTCCTTGCTCACCTTTCCATTTCTCTTCAAGTATTGGGTGAGAAAGTGAATCTCTTTCTTTTTGTTGTCAGAGGCTCTGAGCATTTCTAATCTTTATTTATTTTTGTTTCTTCCACCAGGGCAGCCAGGGCCAAATCCATATCCCCCCAACATTGGGTGCCCTGGAGGTTCCAATCCTGCCCATCCACCACCTGTCAATCCAGCCTGTCCTCCAGGCCCCTTTCCTCCTCCCCCAGGAGTTCCCCACGGAAATCCTGTTTTCCCTCCAGGTGGGCCCCCTCATCCTGTGCCACAGCCAGGGTATCCAGGATGCCAACCCCCAGGTCCCTACCCTCCTCCATACCCACCACCTGCCCCTTGCATCCCTCCTGTGAATCCCTTGGCTCCTGGCATGTTAGGACCAGGAATGATGATGGACAAGAAGACACAGAAGAAAATGAAGAAAGCTCATAAGAAGATGCACAAACATCACAAGCACGGCAAGGTTAGTGCCCTCTGGGGCCTGGCTAGGGAAAGGGTGCCCCCTCAGAGGGACTAGATGGGTTGGGTGAGGGGGATTCACAGCCTGTGGACATGGGGGGATGGCAATTGTGTTGCTCTGGTACATGGTTCTTCCTTTTTGTAAAAGATTGCTACTGGGAAGAATCTGATAATCTTGAAAAGAAATATCAGGCATCTGTCTGGAAGGGGGCTAGGGTGAGCCTTAGAATGCATTTCAGAATCAAACGCCTGTCTTGTCTGCCTTACTCTCTCTCAGAACTTTTGCCCCCCCCTCCATCCGCAGGTATATGGTTTAGCAAGTTGGATACACTCACTGAGGCTGTCAAAATGTCAGTTACTAGGGTCAGTCTTTTGACAGCAAAATCATATATAATAATTAACAGTATAATAATCTGGTCCTAGTTCCTGGAGTTCTTTATCTCCTTCAATGTTCTTAGGGTGTGGTGGTAATTACACATAGGCCTTTTGCTCTACCATCCAGCTGGGAAACTGAGGACAAGCATAGTGACTCAGCCTCAAAGAAAGTCTAGGACTAGTCAGTGACTCAGCCTCTAACCAAGCCAAGGACTAGGGGTTTTCATACTCAGCCGTAGGCTAAATATCTTTGTTCTAGAGGAGTGTTAATTTGCAAGGGGAAGAGCAGGTCTGAGGACAGCTCCCAAAGGATTAAACCCACCCTCATTTTGAAGAGATCTCAATTTACATTTTGCTGCCCAGTATTTATTTGCCTTGTGAATTGGGGCTCTAATTCCAATTCTGGGTCTTTGGTAGAAGTCTGAGGAAAATGAAAGGTGAGACTGAATAGGAGAGATGGGAGAAATTACCCTGGGGAGACTAAAAAAAAATTTTTTTTTTGAGACAGTGTCTTGCTTTGTTGCCCAGACTAGAGTGAGTGCCGTGGGGAAGGCTGTGTAGGGAGTTTCTTATTCAATTGGTTCCTCACATGACCCAGCTCTCCATTAAACTACATTAAAAAACATTTTCTAGGTCCGGGCGCGGTGGGCTCACGCCTTTAATGCCTGAACACTCTGGGAGTGCGAGGCGAGGTGGAATTTGCTCGGGAGGGTCAGGAGTTCGACCAGCCTGAGCAAGAGCAAGACCCCGTCTCTACTATAAATAGAAAACAAATTAATGCGCCAACTTACAATATATATATAGAAAAAATAGCGGGCATGGTGGTGCATGCTGTGAGTCCCAGCTACTGGGAGGCTGAGGCAGGAGGATTGCTGACCCAGGAATTTGAGGTTGCTGTGAGCGTAGGCTGACG